AATCATTTGTATGGGAAATATACTTTATGGGACACCAAATCTTAAAGTTTCTCACACAATTTTACAGTCTTCTCATTCAAAATAAGGGAGCTTTGAAGCAAACCCTCATATCCGAACAATCAGTTAAATGGGAGCTATAACTTATACATAGTAGTCCGATCTTGATGATTTTCGCTGTAATCTCTCTATTGATTGTAAGTGAAGGGAGTGAAAAATTGCATGCACTTAGCTGCCTAAGTGGAGAAGTTATAACACAAAATCTCCTATCTGATCAATCAGTTCTATGGGAGCTATATGTTAGCGGTAGAAGTTATAGCAGACTAAACATAATCGTGGTACAAAGCTCAATAACATTATTAAAAATAAAAATGCTAATAAGCCACAATAATATTGACAAAAATCGGCTTTTTTAATCAAAAAGTTGTTTATTCTAATTACCTTATTTTTTGCATCATGCAAATAACCTTTAATTTGTTATTGGATGGCTGTTTTTTGTGAAAAAAAAAACTAATAAAACATTTGGATAATTTCTTTTACTTTTTTAGCCTTTTTGAGTCTATTTAGATGGATTGCTGTAAAAATTCTGGCAACACTGCCCATAACTCATTACCTGGTGAAATATTCTTGCATGGTTCTGGAATCTAGAATCTAGAGAGACAATTTTCGATGCTGAGAGAGTTTGCCTTTTGCAAACAAATCTTTAATTCGTGTGCCAATAGCAATTATAAAGCCAAATATACTCGCAAGTCTCTATAAGTCGAACCTTTTTTTTGAATTCTTTCGATTCAAGCTAAGCGAGTTTTACTGTATCACACTTTTTGTAAATATCTCATTCAAAGTTTTTCTAAATTCTTTCTTTAAAAACATGCATATGTAAATATGGTTTCCTTAATACAGAAAGGCCCCATCTAACATTTTCGTTTCCTTATAAACTAGTTATAAAACTTTATAAAAACTTAAGTCAATCAAATGCAATTTTCTTAAAAAGACTGGTTATTAAAAAACACTGAAACTACTTGATGGATGTAGTAGTTGGTTTTGAATTCTTTTAGGCCCTTAGTGGATAATGTACCGACTTTTGTACAGTGCTGAATTTCGAAAGAAAATGAGTTAGGGCTTTTCTAAATTAAGGTAACGATATGTATGCATGTACATACATATGTGCATACATATGTATGCGCTATCTAGTACATACCATACAAAAAGGAACATTTGAATATTTTTCGACCGAGCATAAATAAATATTTTAAATAAATACCAAATTTCCTATTAAGTATTTGGAGTAGTGTTTATTTTTAATTACACTCGCTCCCAAAGTACGCTTCCAAAGGTTGAGTTCAGTTTACATACATACATACATACGTTAAATTTAATATGACTCCAACCAAGCTCATACATACACATTTATCAGTTTCTTTTGTAGTATATGTTAATCGATTTGTTTTTTTTTTTTTTTTTTGTTAAATTTTTATTTATCTGCACATGTATTGTTATAAAAACATAACATTGACCTTGGCTTTTCGCTACTTAACATCGCTGCTGTGAGATACCGTTGTGAGATACCGTTTTCAAACATCTTTTTTATCAGTATTCATTTTTGTCTGTATGGATGCTTGCATTTTTTTTTCTCTGCTTATTTAAAATTTTTAAGTCGCGTCATCGGAAAGCTGCTCCTCTACCCCCTACCAAACGATTTCGACAATCTTCGCTTTTGTTAACCACATTTGTGCTTAGAGTTGTATAGTCTGAATGAGCATCTACAAGTTGAACATCTTTAGCATTTCGGGAGTGCATAAAAGGTTATTTCCATTTGTCTGGTCAAACAAAAGATGCATTAACAATTTTATTAATTTTTTCTCACAAAATAAATGTATGAAAACAGGTATCCCCGTTGGCAATTATAAATTTTTAAATTTATTGTTTATTTAAGTCTTCCACATTATAAAAATTGTTCTTTAGGTACATATGTACATACATATGTATGCATGTACATATATTAGAATGGTATGTATTTACCACCTTACCTACAACAAACAAACAAAATAAGTATGTGCATATCTGTGTACATTAGAGTGGTACAAAAATAGAAGTAAAGTCGGAATTTTGAAATAAAAAGAAAATATTATGGAGTGCTCAACGCGCTCAAATTTTCGATTTATGAAGCACTGAGCCAAATGTACAATGGTTTTTTTAACCAAGTTATTGTTTTTTTTTTCATGGTTAATACACCGATTGTAAGAAATGTGATTCAAGTTGAATATTTGAAAAAAAAATTCGTCGGTCCGGCAGTGGCTGAACGTGCAGAGGCGCTTTCTGTTATTTTTTGGCTTCCGTACATATGTACGTTGGGTTCGAGTATGAATGCCGTCAGCGGCAACACATAATTTTTATATATTTTTTTCTGTTTTTGGTTTTTCTTAATTACGAAAAAGCATCTAAACCAAATTAAACGACGAATTGATTCAGTTTGAACATTTAAAGACACGTTTTTAAAGTGGCTGTAGCTGAGTGTGTAGAGATGATTGCTGTTATTTGCTTATCCCATCAGAGGCAACGTGTTAAAATGATTATACAAATTTTTGCTTTGTATCTCCGAATTATGAAAAAGCATCTGTGAAGTGCAGAACATAAGCGTACTCAAACGAAAAAATTAACAACCACAAGAGTTTGGTTAATTTAAGCAAAAGTGGTTAATATTACCAAATCATTGTTGAAAATATCAACCAAGGCATTCTTATTATTAACCAAAAATCACGTTGTTTCCTTTTCAAGTTTCAATTTGGTAATATTAACCAATTTTTAGTTGATTTTTCTCTCAGTGAGCATTCTTGGTTTTTAATGAAAGTAGGTAAAGTATCGGCTTTTTGTTGGAAATTTTATGTATAAGGTGTACTACTTAAATATTTACCTTATGTTATCAATTTAACTGAATTAAATTTTTCAAATAGGTGCCAACCCGCTTCAAAAATATTTTCGACAGTAAACTTTCTTCAACGTCTTTAGTTAAATACGGGTTGTGTAATATTTAATTTATTTTCTCAATTTAAATGAATAAAATATTCAACAGGCGTCAACCCCCTCATAAATATTTTCGGCAGTAAGCCTTCTTAACCGGCTAACCAGAATGTAGTACCACAGCCACAAGCTAGCTACATCAGCAATAGGTTCGTTCGCGTAGCTGTTAATTGTTCATGTTTAACCAAAACTTACAGGTTTTTGCGTTCGCGTACGCAAAAAACTTGCAAAGTAGGGGAAATTGAGAGAGCAAAGTGACATTTCATTTTGAGGGGAAGCTGTTAGTTTCTGTTGGAAAAATTTTTGCCAACAGCAATTTGCCAACAGGGAAACAGCTGATCAAAAACAGCTGGTTGGCATTTACGCAAATCACAAAATTTAATTTGATGGTTTGGAAGATAAAAATTACAAAATGCGACTAATTAAACTTGTAAGAAATAAGTAGTTATTTGTTTAATCAATAAACTGTGTCAGTATAACACTTTGCGATGACTTTTCGTACGTTTTAAATTTTACACTTTTGTATGTAAACAAAAATTATATCAGCTGTTCGTCTAACTTGCAAGTTTCTGCAAATTTTCTGTTCGCGTACTATTTTGGATATTTCTCTCTTGTGAGCGAACAGATGACATTTCGCCGGAATTTGGCAGTTGGTTGGTTTCTGTTGGAGATTTTAAACGAACGCACCTAATAATACACCACAACCACAGCTACATATTAGGTGCGTTCGTTTAAAATCTCCAGCAGAAACCAACCAACTGCCAAATTCCGGCGAAATGTCATCTGTTCGCTCACAAGAGAGAAATATCCAAAATAGTACGCGAACAGAAAATTTGCAGAAACTTGCAAGTTAGACGAACAGCTGATATAATTTTTGTTTACATACAAAAGTGTAAAATTTAAAACGTACGAAAAGTCATCGCAAAGTGTTATACTGACACAGTTTATTGATTAAACAAATAACTACTTATTTCTTACAAGTTTAATTAGTCGCATTTTGTAATTTTTAACTTCCAAATCATCAAATTCAATTTTGTGATTTGCGTAAATGCCAACCAGCTGTTATTGATCAGCTGTTTTCCTGTTGGCAAATTGCTGTTGGCAAAATATATCTGAATGAAATATCACTTTGCTCTCTCAATTTCCCCTACTTTGCAAGTTTTTTGCGTACGCGAACGCAAAAACTTGTAAGTTTTGGTTAAACATGAACAATTAACAGCTACGCGAACGAACCTATTGTGGGCAGCGTAGAGCTTTTGACAGCTCTTGCTACATGCCTGGTTGGCCAGTAAAGCTCTTTCTTGTGACAGCCATATTGCAATATTTACTTTATCTTATTAATTTACTTAAATTGAAATTTTCAAACTCTCAAATTTTTTTCTTCTATATTTTAAGTTGGACCTATAGTAAAGTAATACATCGGTGAATACTGCATTCGATTCCATGTATTAGACAAAAATTGTAAAAATGGTTGATTTGGCTTCTGTTGCTCTGATAAAGACCACCACCAACCCCCCTCCCCCTTGCCCTCATATTAATTTTCTTAATTGTGTATAATGTACAGACATCGGTCTGTTACAATTTTTAAGCGACTCCAAAAAAGGAGGGGGTTATCATTCGTCAGAATATTTATTTTATTTTATATATATATATATTTTTTGTTTTATGTATGTATGTGTATTACCTCATAACTTTGGACCACGTCAACCGATTTCGATAATTCTTTTTGCATCGGTAAGGTAGTATCTCAGAGGTGGTCCCATACTAATCTGGTTTAGATCCGATCATTGGATCATGAGATATATATATATATTTTTTGTTATATGAGAATTGAAGTCGGTTTTTTTTTTTGCTTAAAAATTATTTGTAAATATTATGTGTTTAGGGAGTTGAGAATATCAGTTATTGATACAATCATTCATCATTAAAACTTATATTTGTTACTATTGTGCTAATTGGCGTTTTTCTTGACTTTTTTTTTGCAGGCGTAAACAGTTAGAGAGCCTTTTAAAGATGTATGAGGACCATGAAACTGAAATGATTCAAGCACTGGATGCAGACTTGCGACGCCCCAAGCAAGAAAGTTTAGTTGTTGAAACAGAATTTCTCAAGAACGATATCAAACACATATTATATAACCTTAATGATTGGGTAAAACCCGAAACAGTGAGTACACGCGAACTTTATTATTTATGCATAATTTTTTTTAACACCTAATGCCGAATTTTCACTAGGCATTGAAATTACAAAAAAAAAAAAATGTATGCCTTTTAAAAAAATGACATGTGGAAATGAACTTAATGCCTATTTGTTTTTAATGTTATGACACGATTATTTTTTAATACCCGACTTTGTCATTTGTCATGTTTGCCATTTAATGCCTAGTGGAAATCCAGCATAATGATTAATAAATGTATATATTCTTATTTCAATATCTTGACAGCCTGAAAAATCGTTGGTGAATTTACTGGACGATGTACAGATCTTCAATGATCCCTATGGTGTAGTTCTAGTGATTGGTGCATGGAATTATCCACTACAACTGCTACTTGTGCCAGTGGCATCGGCTATAGCTGCAGGAAATTGCGTCGTAATTAAGCCAAGTGAAATTTCCACCAACTGTGCTAAATTCGTTACAGAAATGGTACCAAAATATTTAGACAATGTAAGTCACACGCTGAACAATTTCAATAAAAAATAACTACTTTTAATTTTATTTTAAACATACCATGTCCATCTGAAACAGGATTGCTATCCAGTTGTATGTGGGGGACCCACGGAAACCGCTGAATTGTTGAAACAACGTTTTGACTACATTTTCTACACTGGCTCCACAAGAGTGGGTAAAATAATACATGCCGCTGCCAATAAGTATCTAACGCCAGTAACTTTAGAATTGGGCGGCAAAAGGTATAATATACTTATTAGACAACGTCAAAGAAAAAATAATAAAAAAATCCTGCAATGCGACCGCCATCGGACTCAGATTTTGGTATTTGCTATAGGATACTTTCGGAATTTAAGGAATCTGAGCATGCATAATACTCAAATGGCATGTAATCAATGTGTTCTTATATAGTTTCGAGCGTTTTGATTAATCCCAGAAAATTGTATTGACATCAAAAGAGAATAACTCATTTTCTTACGTGTAATTCCTATGGGAAAAATGAACGCTCGGTGCGCGATCTCTTAGAATTATCGTAGAGAGGGGATATTTATGGAGGATCATTACTATAGCAAATTCTAAAATCTGAGTACGATGGCGGTGGCATTGCAGAATTTTAATTTTTTTACGTGGTCTAATACTTATACATTCACGCATATGTATGTACATACATATTTGCTACAATAATAAATTTTCATTTCTTATTTTATTTATTTCATAACTCCCGCCTAATTGTAGTCCCTGCTATATTGACAAATCAGTTGAATTGCGCACAGCTGCTAAACGCATACTTTGGGGTAAACTTATCAATTGTGGTCAAACGTGCATTGCGCCCGATTATGTGCTGTGCTCGAAGGAAATCCAAGATAAGTTCATTGCCGAGGCAAAAGAAGTGCTCAAAGAGTGGTATGGCGAGGATATCAAAAGCAGTCCGGATCTCAGTCGTATTATTAATCATAATAATTTTCAGTAAATATTACATGCAAATAGAATTACATACATTACTTGAGATATGGCGTATAGTTTCTCTAGCGTTTTGGCTAATACTTTTGCTTATTTTAGACGCTTACTTGGACTGATGAAGAGCGGCAAGGTTGCTGTCGGTGGAAATTATGATGCTTCTGAACGATATATTGAGCCAACCATACTAACTGATGTCAAAACTGACGACCCCATTATGCAAGAGGAAATATTCGGACCGCTTTTGCCAATTTTCACAGTAGAAAATGCCTACGATGCAATTAAATTCATCAATTCCAGGTAAAATGCGCAAAGAATGGCAACGGAATAGTGTTGAAAATTTTTTATGTATCAGCATTGTTAAATTGCACAAATTTTTTGTGATTGCATCAAATTCAAATGTTTTTTATTTCGTCACCTGAAATGCAAAATAACGTAACAACATAGTCACTGAAATGGAAAAAGTCGTGACAATTTTATTTTGTTTATAAATCGATGTGGGGAGTAGTAATTCGATGAAATCCATTATAGCAATCAAAAAGTTAATTTTGAATTTTTTATAAGTTACGACTTTTTGGATTTCAGTGACGATGTTGTTACGTTATTTTGCATTTCAGGTGACGATTTTTATTTGTGATTTATATGATAACGTACACCCAAAACGGTTTGGAAAGGTAAACAAATTAATTTGTTTAAACGCGATTAATTGCTATTTCGACATTAGCCGCTTAAAATCTCACATCCATCCGGGATCTGGATGAGAGTAGCCACTATAGCCTAACTTTTATAATAAATAAACAATTGCAATGCGTATTAAAGCATAGACAAATGTCAAGGTTAATCCGGATCCGATCAAAATTTTATTCTTTGACGATAGTAATGCGGATTAACGAACCGCGAGGTCGTGGGTTTGAGTCCCACAGCCGGTAGAGTTTTAATCTGTTTTTTTTTTTTTTAATTCATTCAATTTTACTTTCATTTATTTTCTTTAATTCCCCTGATCTGTATAAATTTCGAGTATGTATGTATTAGCAGCAGGACTGCATCAACGCTGTCGCCTATCTATCGCGTTTAAAAATGCTCAAAATTTCCAACCATATGTTGTTTCATAAAAATTTTCCAAAACTGGGTGTACGATTCTCAATGCGCTAAGTAAAAACCAAGGTTACTCTTACTTTTTTACCAGGGACCGAAAATATTAAGTTCCAAATAATTTTTCTTTTTAAACCAAGAATAATTGTAAAACTTTGACTTTTATTTTTTCGATAATTTAAAATGCTTTATGATCTAAAAACTTAAATCTGAAAATAACGGTTATGAGATGATTGTATAAAAAATCCAAAAATAATGTTTATTTTTTAATTGAAAAAGTAAAAATCATAAAATTACAATTAAATTTGATAGGAATAATATACATCCAATTTTTACGGTTAGTTCATAATTTTTATTATAAAGATCACAACTTTATGGTCCCTGTTTATTTTTGTATTTGATGTATTTAATTCATTTTTTCTTCTCATTTATTATTTTTCGTTTATTACATCCATGTCTCAACATTTGTGTGCGTCTAAAAAAAACTCATTGTTTATAAAAAAAAAATAATACACAATTTAACACACAAATTTACACAAAAACGTACACAGAGAAGCACCACTTTGCGCGTATATATTCACAGCGGACGCTGCGGTACAAAATTTATTTAAACGTGACATCCAATCGGGCGGAATGTGTATGAATGAAACTATAATGCATTATGCTGGTAAGCAAAGACTGTACATATTGAAGTAAAAAAATGCAAATATACACCGACTTATTGTCCCGACCCTTAATAGTGTCTACTTGCACCAGCGCATTGTTTTTGCAATCAATGCCTCTTATTGAACTGCCCGTTTATGCTCCCATTAATTTGTACAGTTGTAAAATTCCCATAGACAAAGTGGTGTTGGCGCGGGCTACTCCTATCTGCAAATAATTTGTAAATATATTTTGTTTACTTTTTACATATGTATTTCTTAAATGCTAATTATTTGTACATATGTATGTATCTGGTGCTTGGGTTATTTACAATAAGAGTGAATGCTTGTACATATTTGAACCAAAAAAAATCGAATTTTAATTGGAGTTGGTGATACTAAATTTGTGTGAACTTTAAATCTGACGATAGGTAACTAGTCATGTGTGTATTGTATGTACATACATATGTATTGCTATCCTCCCGACCTCAAACTCAACCATAAAATGCATATGTCTTTTAAATAGAAAAAATTATAAATGTATGGCTGATTAGATGTGAACACAACACGACGCTAGTGATTCCCAACTTCAGTTTTACTGGTTTTATTTTTGAAGTAGCGATTCTTAGTCGATTTCGGTGACGATTACGTTAAACGAGAACGCCACGAGAAAGGAGGAAAGCGGAGACAGCGAGGGAAGAAAATAAAGATAAAAATGAAGATACTCATAAAGATAAAGATAAAGATAAAGATAAAGATAAAGATAAAGATAAAGATAAAGATAAAGATAAAGATAAAGATAAAGATAAAGATAAAGATAGAGAGATAGAGAGATAGAGGGATAGAGGGATAGAGAGGTAGAGAAATAGAGATAGAGAGAGGTAGAGGGATAGAGGGATAGAGAGGTAGAGCAATAGAGAGATAGAGGGACAGAGAGATAGAGAGAAAGAGATAGAAATAGAGATAGAGACAATTTTTTTATTTTTGTTACAATCATATTGCTAATTGAGCGTAGTCTTACTCGTGTACGTTATACGATTTGTATATGTTACCGGCCAAACTCGATCTTATGACAAACTAGTTTTGACTAGGCTAAACTAGATCAGGCACCACAGTATTTTTGAGTAGAACTCCTTTCCGCGTAAGCGCCCTCATCAGTCCAACTCCAACTATGCAGTCCACAATATTGTTGCGTCCAACTTAATTTCTCGTTAGACGGATGTATCGGATCTAGATAGAACTAGTTTCGCCCAGGAAAAACTAGTTTGTCTTAAGATCGGGTTTGGCCGGTAACATATACATATCTACTCATGCGCATACATATGTAGGTACATACATATGTTCTCATTTTTTTTGGCCAAAATTTAAAAAATTTGCCATCAATATCAGACCATTAAATCCACTCACATATGTACATACATACTTATATATGTACATATGTACATACTTATATATGTACATATGTAGGTGTGTGAAAATCTGCTCATTACATTTTATATGTACATGTATGTATGTATTAGTACTCATGTTGTTGATGTATGTATTACATCCAATAAAAAGTAAAATATATGTATATGCATTTTTGTTAATTAGGGAGAAGCCCTTAGTGATCTACGTTTTCTCAAATAATTCTAAAGTAGTTAAAGAATTCAAACAAAACACAACCAGCGGCGGATTTTCCAGCAATGAAACTATAATGCATTGTGGAGGTATTTACATATGTGTAAAATATTTGCACACTTTTTTTAATATTTTCATAAGTATATACTTCATATTACAGATTTGGAAATATGTATTCTGTTCATGAAATGCAAATCTAAATTGTTTTAATTGTACGCGTTTAATTCGGCAAAAGCACACATCGTTCAGTTAGCATTTTTTTTAATATCTACTTATAGCACACATTGTTTAAATTTGCACTATTTTGTTGAAAATTTTTGATAAAATATCAGTGTTGCGCAAAATTTTACCAATATGGATTGTAAGTCAAAATTTTGTTTTTGAACTTTTAACCGGCCACGCAAACGAAGCAATTCTGGCAAAAATTTAAAGTTTTCTTAATTTACTAATGGCCCTATTATGTATGGCGACTAATAGTCGATCCCAGGATCAAGGCCTCGTGATCCCGGGATATAATTTCATTTACGACCAAAATAAAATAAAAAACGACATTCAGACGCTGTAATGGCATAAACTAATTATAAAATGCAACCCTACAAATAATCAAATAATATATTACAATTCCAACATTACTATTATTCTATGTTGTAATTTTCTGTTTCCGATTTATGACGATTTTGTTATTTGTTTACGTAAATTTTTAAACACATTGGAGCAAAATTGAAATTACTTCTAAATGTATATGTCAAGGAAGTTAATTTGGATGTTGTCTGCGCTTTCTGTATTCTGAGATTAACCACTATACATAATAATAATACGATACTGGTAGCTCTGACCAGCAACTAGACTCCAGTCGCCATACATAATAGCACCACAAATTTGCCATCTAACACGTATGCATTTGTACATTATTAGATTAATGCATAAAGAAACTATTTAGTATTTAAACTAACAAAAAAATATGTATGTATGCGTCATAACGAAAAAAAAATGCCTTTAGTTTTTAACCGACTTCACAAAAAGGAGTTATCAATTCGTCGGATTTTTTTGTTTGTTTGTTTTTATATCTAACTTTGGACCACCTTAACCGATTTCTATAATTCTTTTTTTAATCGGATCACGAAGACATTTACGATAATATTAAATTTTTATATATTGAATTGAAGTCGGTTTTGTTTTTTGATTAAAAATCACTTGTTAAATGAGACTTTCGGCATCGAATAAAAATAAATAATAACTAAAAAGTAAGGCATTGTTATACAATATTAAAGGGCTAGCGGCGATATCTGCATCCTTATACCATGTCCGGACCAACATCGATAACAGATTAAAAACAAGTTTTGTTTATTGTGGCTTCAAAGGTGTTCGCACAGATAAAAGAAAGCTGTTTGCAAAATAAAAATGCGAGCGTTAAGTAAAAAAACTTGGCATGCAAAGGGGTTAAGTTCTTCTGGCCTCAGGTAGATCGCGCAGTCGGTCTAAAAAGCTCTTACGGCTGAGCAATGCGTCGGTCATTGTCCGTTTGAAATCCATGCTCAAAATCACGTTGAGGTGGTTAACACCTTAATTCTCACTTCTGTTGAAACTTTATTGTTAGCACCCCCATTTCGATTTGACTCATCCCCTAACCCTTAAATGGTATTACAAAGGGCAGATATAATTTAATACTCCTACATAATGTGGTTCTATTATATCTGCGAAAACGTAACTTTATAAAGTTTTTAAACTTGCTTGTCGGCCGCTGTGGTTTAGTGGTAAGCAGTGCACGCTTTCACTCATCAGCACCTGGGTTCAAGCCCTGGTCAAAGCAACATCGCAAAAACCTCCGAGTCTATTTCTGCCATGAAAAACAGCTTCTCATAAAAATACAATCGCCGTTCGGAGCCGACGTAAAACTGTAGGTCCCTCCGCTTTGTGTGACAACATCAAGGCGCACGCCACAAGTCGGAGGAGAAGCTCGGCCAAACACTAACATATGTGTAAGCGCCAATCTATTATTATTATTATTAAACCTGCTTAATTTTTAATGAATAGCGCCATACAAATGTAATTTAAAGTTTCTTGGTAATGTATTTTGGTACAGGGCCTTTTATAACGATGACAACTACATACATATGCACAATTTTGTTACACATTATTTCGTTAAATGAATCAAACTACAATTTATACAACCATAATACCTAATAAATTTTACTATTTATGCTTTTTTATAAACCTTGCTCACCCTTAACTTTTTAATAATTGAGGCGCATGATTAATGCTTCTTTTGATTGCATGCTTTTTCTTCTGCAGTAATGTAACCTTTTTATTCAATATACATATGTAGATATACTTAGACAATCAGCCTTATCATGAGTTTAATTTTCCCGAACCGGTTCACTTTTCACGTTTGGTTTCCATGTATTTACTATGGGCGGAATAAAAATTTTCGGGTGATTTTTTTTTTGTTCGGGCAAAACTCAGGATAAGGCAGAATATGTTCAAAAATATGTCTTATTATTTTACAAGTAATTAAATATGCATAAAAGCTTATCAAAATTTCCCACTTACGATTCACAGTGAAATTTTATTTTTATTATTTTAATAACTATTGTTATTATTAGACTGCAGATTTTTATCCAGAAAACGAAGCCTAAAAGTATGTAACACATGAAAATTTCAAATATTTATTTTATAGTTTATGCAGAAAACATCCGCAGTCTAAGTATTATTATATTTTTATTATTAATAAGCATTTTTAAAATATTTGTATATTTGACGAAGCTTCCACCACCAACAATTATTAATGTAAATTTACTCTCAATGTTATTGACAAATCTCTATCACGCAAAAAAAAAAAACTAATAAAAATGTTTTCCTACAAAAGTCGATACATTGCCTTTTGGCGGCGTTGGATCTAGTGGCATGGGACGCTATCACGGTAAATATGGATTTGAAACATTCACACATAAGAAATCGTGCCTTGGAAAGGATTTGAACCCATTGGGCGAACTCTTAGCATCGTAAGTACAATAAACGATACGTATTACAATTAAAAACTTACAATATATGTACATATGTATGTATTTTCCTTATATTTTAGTGGTCGTTATCCGCCTTATTCAGATCGTAAATCTTCGCTATTGGGTTTTCTGCTGCGCAAACGTCGACCCTTTCCGAAAATATACCTGTCACATTTATTAGCCGTGGGACTGGGTATTGGCATCACAGTACTTTTTACTCATTATTTACAGGTAATTTAAAAAAAAATCTTTTAATATCTACCCAAACACTTACATATATTTACATTTGATTTTTGGTTTAACATTATGATAAACGGTAAACATTCACTTGCACATGCGCGCAATATACTATACATGCAATATGCTCATACAAAAAACAAACAAAAAAAAAAAAAAATACAAACATAAACGTATCCAGGCGATAAAAGGAAAATTATTTTCACGATAATATTGCTCTTCCTATGGCCGATTTATATATGTACATGCATTATATTGATCAACACATTCACCATACAAGCTTTGATGGTTTTGCTTATATATATACATACATATTTATGTACGAGTGGGCTTTTCGATGATCAGCATCTCATCGTGGTGGTGTCTTAAACTGGTACATACATGTATACAACTGTGTCTATGTTTTTTACAAGGCGCTCCAGCACATTAATATACTTATAATTACTCAATAAGCTATAGTTTGCACCTTAATTCACGAAAATCCTTTCTATATCAACTTAGTACACATTTATTCATTAATTAAATATAACCTATAAAAATCTATTAAAAACTAAAATGTATTTGCAAACATAAAATACTACATAAAACACAATCTGTGGAAGTTTTTGTTTTGTATTTGCGCTAAATGCATAAATCCTAAAAGTAGAGCTAAAATTTATCGCATACATACATATATAAATTGTATTTACTTACAAATATTTTTATTATCCTTTTGCAGAGTGGTAACGATAAGAAATGATTGTTCATTAAGAAAACTTAGTTATACTATCAAATGCTGAATGTGAAATAAGCAGGTCGTTGACTTGAAATATGTACATACATATATGTTTTTCTAAAAATGTTATTTAATATATATTGTAAACTTATTTTATATGTAATAAAAATAAATAAAATTTTATAATTTGCTTTCTATTTTACTTGATGTTAGATAATATGTATGCGGTTATTAGAAAGTGGATACAAATTAGTTAAAGACTTAATATAGTCGAACTGCTAGTAGAAGAGCTTCTTTGGGTGCAGTTTGTTTTGCCACACGGAATTATGTAAATGGTTTGTTTGCTTTCACCTAAAATCTAATACCGAGCGCTGATGGCATTTAAATAAAATAGCAAATTGCCAGCTGAAATTTTGTGGAAAGTACTCGGTATAAACTGTTACTCATGAAACATACTGCGTCAAGTTTCTCAAACACACAAATACCGTTAAAATTTGTTTTATATTTACAAAAGCAATCTTTGAAAAAGTTATTTAAATACGTTCTCATTTCCGTTTCCGCTCAATCTGATGTTGCATTCCTATCGACTGATGATGTTTTTGTGTTTATACTACAGCCGATTTCGATAATAAAAAAATTATCGATTATAATTTGGTAGTAGTAAGCAGTCGTAATGCAATAATTAAAGTATGTTCACATATAAATATTATCTCAATCAAAGCTCGTTTTTTAATCACCCCGTTTACACAGGTAAATCTCAGATTATTAGCCGTCAAATTTTTTGTGCTTGTTATTCTCACATTTCAAGGAAGTTATGTTTCTTCTCTGTGCCACCGGGATCACGTTTTTCTGCTATATTAAGCAACATAAATATATTTTAACTTAACATTTTATTAAAAATACCTTTACAAACCTCTTTTATTTGCTAGCGTCCATCATGATTCAAGGATGTCAGGCATCACAAAATCCTGGTTGATATGTCAAACAGTCAATTTACGCAACTATTAAGACTTTATTAGTTTAAGGGAGTCCCCTAATACCAAATGCCAAATGTAAAAGTAAAGAAAAGTGAATCACTCCTGATCCCTACACCGCCGTGTTATCCCAATAACTTAGATTTGTTGACAGCATAAGTGAGCGGATACCCGATGAACTGATTCCACAGAAGATCCGAAATCCCCGAAGAAAAAGCGCGCAGGATGACTCACATACAAAAACCAACAATAAAATACTAAACATACAAATTGCTTTAGCATAATTGCGATCACAATATAACATTACAATGAAAAGAATTATGACTACAGGGAACTTCAAATGACAAGTGAAAACTTAAAACTAATGTACTGTGTACACCTACTAAAAGCTACCAGTCTGATTCAAATACTTATTCTTATTAAAAGTACTCTTTAAAATTTACTGTCACTAGCTAAGCCTTTTGTAAATAATAAAAGGTTCTTTCCGCTCTATATGAGCTACACAAATTTAAAAATTCATGAACATGTTAATTAGCAACCGATACAATACAATAAGCTGTTGCATGTTTCACATTAGATTTGTACCATACAGTAATTTTAGATTTCTCTTCCTTTCTTTTTTTTTATAACAACGAGCGTAACAAAGATCAACAAGCATTATTTATTTATAGTCTTTATATTTTTTTTTTTTTTCCGGTTAAAAACCAATACAAAAATACTTGAATATAAACATGTTTCTGTTAAAGTACATATACGTCAAACTAACACCTTTTCTTTTATTTTTCCTTTCCTTTTAATATAATTACTATTGTTTTTATACCCGAGCGCACTTGTGCACAAGGGTATTATAACTTTGTTCACATAACGGTTGTTTGTAACAGGCAAAACGAATCGAGATAGATATAGACAAATGTATACATAAATGATCAGAATGAAAAGAGAAATCGATTAAGCGGTGACTGTCTGTCCGTCCGTC